AAACGTGTGGTGTAAGGGGTAAGGCTGTAGTGTAACAACTGACTGTAATAAGGCTGAAAAACCGAGAGTTATCGGAGTGATCCTGGCTGACATATCTGTTCTTTTCAGTTTGATCGCTGGAACGCCCCTACGGGGGCTTTCACCTCTCAGTTTTTGGAACCTGACTGGTGGCTGCTGGCTTTTGGCTGGCTAGTCGCCAGTCACTGTGCCGCCCGTATTGCACTGTCTCGGGCTGGCGCGACCTTTTTTTTTCATTGTTGTGCTTGCTATATGCAGGCCTTCGAGGAAGAACTTGGTTTTTTTCTTTTAGCTTTGTTGGGAATTTGGTGGGAAGCGTGCTGTGGCCTGTGGGTGTGTTGGATGTGGCATTTTGGAGGTAGGAAGCGATAGATAGATATGAGGAAGGTCTCTGTACGCTCCTGGATGCTGGAAGCTTTTCTACATGTACGTATCTCACAAGAATCAGAGCCTGCTCCGCACTCTATAGGCGGCCAGAGACGAGGATCTTGCAGCATGGGCTGCTCTCTCTCATCCAGACATAATGAATCCATGGCATAAGGGACACAGTGATCAAAATACCGCCAGTACAGGAGCATCATAAAGGGGTAAGAAAAAATACAGAGGAAGCGAGAAGTTAATGTATTATAGGCCATCAGCTCCATCCAGAGTACATGAAGAGCTGCTCTCTATGCCTACAAAAGCCCGGTCCGCCGCTTGTCCAAGAATACCTTCTTTTCTGTCTCTATACCATACACCGAATGCAAACACGAATCACGGGGTACCAAGGAAGCATCTGAGAGAAGAGAAGAACTTAATTGCTGTATGTACGTCAGCTCAGTTCAGAGTACATAGGGAGGAAGCAACCATACCTACAGAAACACGAGTAGGCACGCGCCCAAGACGCCCGCCGCGCTCACCCATGACAGCCAGCCCAGCCAACCAGGACGCCCCTGTACCCGCTGTCAGTGACTCCTACACCACGAAGAGGAGCCAGCTCATACTCACAAAGCTCATCACAACCAGCGGGCACGCAAATCCCACCGCCGCCGCTAGTAGCAGCCGCCGGCGCCGCTCATTCGAGGCCCTATACTCCCTATCAGTGCGTCGTGTGTCCGGGGAAACGGCGCGGGTAGACGTACACGGATGATGTCGAAGGGGTCGATCTCGAGCTCCTCGAAGAGTAGGAGGATCCTCCAGACGAAGATGGGAGGGAAAAGGACGTAGACGTTGAAGGCGGAGAGGAGGATGGCGTAGCTTAGGCCCATCGTGGCCAGGGTGAAGGCGATGACGAGGCCGGCGAAGGCGAGGAGCAGGAGATAGTAGTTCATTTTGTCGGTTTGTGGGCTTGTGTGGTGGTTGTTTTGGAGGGGGGCGCGTTGTTGCAAGAGACTGGAGAGGCAGGCGTGTGCTGTGTTTAGCTTTAGGGCCGTTCATTTCACATTGGTCTGCCAATTGACGCCTGCCACTGTCGGCGGAGCACCGCCGCCAAGCCGACACGCGCTCCCCGACGTTGACAGGCGCCCACTGCCACTTTCCCCTTCCTCCAACTACCAACCTGTTCTCAAAGCCGCCTGTCCTTCGAAAACTCTCCTCCTATCTACAGAACAATCATCAAATTCAAGGTACATCAATCTTTACCTCGCAGCTCACCCAATCCATTGCGGTTCTAACAATCCTCAGGTCAAATCGACCAAGTCATTCGCTGGGGGACCGTACCTCCCTCTTCACCAGAGGGCGGTCCCCCCAGCATCTCACAGAGGTCGGATTCCTGAGCAACATGAGCTGGGGGGTCGCCCGCCTCCTCCAAGACCAAGCGGCGGCCCCCCGGCAAACCACGGAGTGAACTCCTGAGCAACATGAAGTACAATTTGTACACGTCCGGTGAAGAATTGAGCGAATGGCACAAGACTCTCGGAAAGTTCGGTACCCACTTCGACAAGGCTTCACGAGCACAAAGCGGGATTCCCGGACGCTTGTTGGCCTATTGGCGGCGACTTTGAAAGGTTTGTTACCCTCCTCTCGCTCATCACGGACGTTGGCTGACCGTCAGTCTTGCTGTAGATCAATGCACTCACGGCCTTGCCACCCACCCCACACGCACCGCTTCCGGAGCTGTGGCCGCCTCCCAGACCTCTGAAAGCTCCTGCATTCCGTGGAACATCTGGACACGAAAGTATGTCAGCTGCATGACCGATCTGCTGCTCTCGCCTGGTAAGACTCCTGCGTTGAATCCAACTTCTGCACATTCTCTCATTAACCTAGCCTCGACAGCCAATCTCGCATAACTCAGGATGCCAGCAGTCTGTCGTTTTCAACACGCGTGTGGGGCATTTGGGACGCAACCACTACACTTGAATTTTCAAAGCGAACGAACTTTGGGTTGACCAAGCGCATGGAAGGCAATCGTAAATTTTCTTTGATGAGAATCTTCTTTCTCTGACCCTGGTCGGTCTGACAACGGCAGGTTTACAAAGACTTTTATCCACAAGGGTATTCCCTTGTCTCAACGAGCTCACCAACGACTTCCAATGCCATCTGGCTCTTCATTTGGCAACAGACCACAAAGTCCTGCTTTCTGTCGTGCAATGACGATTTCATGGCCACCTGATTACTACAGTCACCTACTGCGTTGGTCTTCCGCATTGTTTCGTCCATCAAAAGCTCCCAACCACACCATCGACCTCAGATCACACTTGGCTGGCCCATCGGCACACGGAACAGCTTGGAATCTTTTCAATCTTCAGTGCCACACGCGGCCTTGTGCGAAACGATCATGCTCCGGCACATACGTTTCTCGCCTCTCAATCACCACTCCAAGTGTCACTCAGACCTTCCTTGTGAACAATAGCGCCTCCAGGCTTGAGCGTTGCTCGTCCTGTCTCGTAGGTTACTCCGTGATACTTAACCTTTCGTTGCTAACATCTGCTATCATAGGGCTCGATACTCAGCCGCCCAATCCTGTCTTGAATTCTTCTCAGAGAGGGAGGATACGCCGGCTTACCGGTTTCAGACGGGAAGGCTATGTCAGAGGATCACGTTGGGACGGATGGTCAGAGTGGTTTGATGTTTGAAAATAAGCGGTGGCATTGTGCCTGGATGGACTGCTAGGGCGGATATTGGCGAGAGTCTTTGACCAATATATTGGGAGCGCCGGGGGTAGAGTGCAAATCAAAGGCTGCTTAAGAGCACGACATGAGAATGGACAGTTCCTTTCCTTCTTACTAACAGATATCTTTGGCTTTCGCTCGCACGTATAATAGCAGGCCGGAAGGGGGTTCCTTGCCCTTAAGTCTCTTAAGGACTTCCCATGTATGCTCGCCCTGAAATGATAATTATCTCTAAAGACCATTAAGGCCAGCATCTCTTATTACTTATACTTCTCCGCGGCTCGGGAGTCGTGTGGCTTGAGGAAGGTAATAGCTAGCTCTTCACACCTCTCTCTTTGCGATACGTTCTGGACTATTTCTACAACGTAGCGAGCCTGCGATGGTCATTTGTCTCGACCCTTCAGAATCCTGCCTTCTGCGCGGGCACGAAGAGCGTAGCTCACGATCGTCCTCTTGCTAGTAGTGCCTCCGCCGTACCCTCTGCCATTTTGGCGATGTCTTTTCATAGCCTAAAGAGATAGTGCCTTGTGGAAAACAGCAAAGGCTTAAAGACAGCTATCCCCGTCCTTTTCGTCCTCCTTTCCATTTGTGAAACTCGCCTGTTGCGTGCTTTATTATGCGTCTGTTCAATCCTCGACCTGCCCATGACTTTGCCTGTTATGGAATGATGCACTCGTGAAAGATACCTAGTGATAATGTTCGCTTGCCCGGGGGCATGCACGCATTGCCGCTGCTACGCTGGACTGCTGGCAAGAGGGGATGATGCTCAAGATGCACTTCTACTGGAAAAGCTATCCGATGGCCTGATTGGCCTATCTAAAACCCCTTGATGCTGCCGCGACTGCCATGCCGGCCCCTTTCCGGCTGCTGGTCTGACGCCTCCCGCCAGCCGCTAGCGCCGTCTTCATTTATTTCCTCCTGCCGCCCACAACCTCCTTTCCTCTCCACCTCCACCTCTCCCGCCACCATCAATTTCTCCTCCTCCCCCTGTCACTACCCTCCGCATCCCCTCCTCCTTCACTATCCACGATCATCATAATCTCATCCTCCACCGCCGCCTCCACCTCCACAACCACCTTCTCACGCGGCTGGCAACGAGATCGACCCAGAACCAGTTTGCCCTCTGGGCCTACGAGCCCGCCCGCCCTCCTCCGCCGCTTCACCTCACTCCGCTTCTAATCTCGACTGGAGCCTCGGTCGAATTGTTTGCAGTCACTGCGCTCCCATCGCTCCATCGCCTGAACAAGATTATGGTACTCGTTCCCTTCTCGAGTATGCTTAAGAGCATACAAACAGTAAGTCTCTCTGTCTCCCTTTCTTTTGATATCGCGACATGTAAACATTGAACTGACATCCCTTTTCCTCTAGCATCTCTACCCCTAGCCGGGATTTCTGCCCATCATGCAGAATAATCAGCAGGGAAACCGTCTCCACCTGAACTTCGGCTTCAATAACAACCAGAACACCTCCGGAGCCTGCACGACCATGCAGTCGCTTGTGTATGCGAACTTGATCCAACTACGCTATGGTGGAGAGAGACTGCAGGCCGGTGCACGCGGCCAAGATGTTTGGAGCATTACCGGCTCCTCAACCTCACCCACGTACCACGTAAAGCTCACTCAATACTCCGACACCGACCGCCTTGAGGGTCATGAGATCAAGCCAATCTCTAACGAATCCAAGAAGCGCAAAACCGATGGCTCACCAGTCACGCCCACAACTCCCACACTCCTGCCACTGCGGGCGTCATCTCAACTGCAGCGAACATCAGCCCAGAGCAAATGGCAGCAGTTCAACGCAATGACCAAGACCAAGAAGAAGAACAGCAACCGCCCGCCGAAGCCGACCAAGATTCCACGCAAGGTCAAGGCATACAAGAAGCTCGAAACAAACAAGAACAGATGGCAGCAGTTCAACACAATGACCAAGGGGAAGGCGAGATAGAAGAAGAAGAAGATTTTTTTTTTTGGGCATTTGCCCTTCGACCCGCCTCCAGGGAAGGCGCGCGGCCGTAGCCGAGCGGTACACAGACTCGCGCGATGTGACTGGATGTGGTGCCGGTTTAGGGACAAGAATGGGGATTGGGATGCATCGAAGCCCGAAACTGACTTTACAAATATAACACTTTCCCGCTTTGTCAAACGTTGCTTCATGTGATTGTGTGCTTATGTATTAAAGAGATATCTAATTTTCATGAAAAAGCCTACGCGTACGGCTGGAGACAACCTTTACTCTTTTCTATTTACTTAAGAAATATTATTTACTCTGCGAAGGCCTTGATATGGCGAGCCCTTAAAGAGAGTATTAAACCAGACCAGATATCCATCTATCTCCATCCCAAACGCCGTGACCTAAGCTATCTTTAAAACGCTAAACCGCTACTACCCCACCTCCTTCTACGCAACCAGTCAGCTAGCAAACGGATAGATTATTATACCCTACGCCCATATACTCTCGATACTTGAACCGTTAACATGCCTATATACTTATAGGTAGCGTCCTGTATGAACACTAGTACCTAATACGTTAGCTATAGTAGCATTAGCGGGCGCGGTATGTCGTGACTATGGCTGAGCGGAGGACTTGGGAGCTATGCTGTTGTCGGGTATTGTCGTCTTCGGCGCTAGTGTAGTAGAGGCCGGGGCCGTAGAGTGTGGGTGTAGTATTGGTTGTACTGCTTTCAAGGTGGTGCGGCGGAGGAGTAGGTAACGGGTTTCGTGACGTGTCACGTATGGGCTGCCTAGAGGATTAGTGCTTACGGCTGGGGTGTTTTGTGTATGTCGCGCTTAAGGTTGTGCTGGGAGAGCTAAGCTTGGATGGTTTAGAGGTGTCGCTCTCTTGGCTGCGGTTTTTAGCTTGCGGTGGCTATTCGAGCTTTCTCTAGGGCTGGGCTGGGGTGGGCTGAGGTGGGTGGTGTTGCTTTAGGGTATGAAAGTAAGGGAGTACGAGTAGGTTTTCATATTTGAACGGAATTGGCTAAATAGGAGGAGGGTAGTGGCATTAGCCTAAACCATAAATTCGAGCAAGCGCTGTCATCGTCCCTTGCAAAGGTTTTAGCCTGCAGCCGTTGTTCACATTAGCCCTCTACGCCGTACATTTCATCTTACCCCTCCTTCTTGCCCGCCGGCCCAGACTGAAAAGCCACCCACATAGAGCACTTTGTGCGAGTCGAGAAAGTAAAAACACCGAGTGTAGAGTAGGGGTGAGCCGGAGAAGACGGCGCGTATGCAAGACATTGGTAAATGATTCGCGTGTCGCGCTTCTGATGCTCAAAAGACATATCGAAGGCCAAAGGAGTAATAGCAGGGAGCAGCGCCGAGGCATGTTTGTCTCGGCGTGACGGAGCCGGGTCTGATAGGACGTGTCTGCCGGCAGCTGGGAAGACAGAGCATGTATTGCGGTAGCCGTTAGCTGTTTCAGGATCCTGCAGCCGCTGCCGGACCGCCATAGAACTACATGATGTAGTGTGTGGACTCTTCGAGGTATGGGCACAAGGACCATCCTCGCGCATTCGGGCACTTGAATGTTGTTGGCAGGATAGAAGCCCGGGTTTCTGCAAAATACAACGCTGTCAGCTTCGGTAAGCTCTGGATATGTTCGCTTGTGCGGCTGTAATTCTGGCTCGAACAGCCCGGTAGTGACAGCTCTCTTCATAGTGAGCCTGTTCTGTGTTTTTAAGCCTGGAAACTAGAAGCGGAATATAGGGATTATCGCCTAATTTCTTTCCGTATCGCTTCCTGCCCTCGTTCCTGACGGCCAATCTGCTGTCTGGCAGCAAATCGATCTTGTCTTCCATGGAACGCTCAATGCCCCCAACAGCCATGTCATTTCCTCACGTCACAGGCATAGGTGTTGGCAGGATTCTCAGGTTCGTGGCTTTCTAAAAGCATTGTTAGGACTGGCAATAGTTGTGTTGTCATTGATGCTCTTGTGAGGCCGTGGTTGGACAACTCCTGGCGGCGTAAAGCTTCCAAATCTTCCTTGATACGCATTTTCTGGTTGAAGCAATGCACACTGGAATCGTGGGTTGGGAAACAGAATGTCCAAAATGTTGTGAACGCAGTTTCGGCGGCCCAAGGGTTATTTGTGATCTTAAAGGGACATGCTTGGAGGCAATTGAAAAGTTAATTGGTTTTCTGGTTCCAATCGTCGCGGGAGGGGCTTCTTCTGATCTCGGCGGCTTGGAAGACAAGCGGAAGGAGGCTGCGCTACTGCAGTAGATAATGTCAGCACACCGAAAACGTCAAAGTCGCTTGGTCTGCGGGTGCTGCCCGCCTGGAACTCAAATAGTTGCCAACACGCTGACTTACCAAATGTCTCCGTCAGTATGATTGCCTGTCAGGTTAGAGTGTGAAAAGACAAACCTCTTGGTGACGGTGCCGTCCATGGAAGAGACAGGCCCAGGCATTCCCGTGTGGCTGTTGTGACCTTGGTGATCTTCAATTCCTCGAACCACACAGATAGTTGATTTCTGCCTCAATAGCAGCCGGTTGGGCAACCATGGGGCTTCGATGCTGATAATTGGGATGTGCTCAAGGTAGGGAGTGGTCCAGAGATGCGACAACTACCGACTGACGCTGGCTCTCAAGAATTGGGACAAGAGAATGGGATAGGTAAGAAGTTCTGTATCGCGAAAAGAGCTGGCTGCAACAGGACCAAGCAAAACTAGCGGCTTGTCAGCCCATATGTTCTTCGAGCTGCCACGCTGCAATGCGGACTTTCGTTGTTGGGGCGTCGCCCGGTGCGGCATCCGGGCACGTGCATCCGGCGGCCGGCTGCAGGCGGATAAACCTAGAGCACAAACGCCTTTTCTAAATCTTCTGGACCAACACAAACACCCCTCCTGCATCCCACGTCAATCCCTCGACCAGCTTTGGGTCCTGGTCACTTCATCCTCCATCATTGTCTACCACACTTGCCGCTTCAAAGCTCCAAGCATCAAAGACTTTTCGGCAACCTACCGCGCCTAGAGCAAACATCAGCGCCATCCTCACGTCGCCTTCCGCTCGCCTTTGCGATCTGACCATCACATCCTCTCTCACTCACCACCGCAGTATTCGTCCGTCCTCTTCCATCACGGCGAATAGCGGACTGCAGAGTGAACGAAAGAGACTTTATAGGCTTTGCTCAGCACAATCTGCGCAGCCAACTGCTGGCCGCCGCCGCAGACCTCACCTCCGGCTCAAGGTATGAACACGCAACACCATCCACTTACTACATCAACCATTAGATGTACTAACTGAATCGTTAGATAAGATCAAGCTCGCCCTCTGCGGCAACAAGTTCGTCTCCGCCTTCGCCGGCTTCTCAGCGCACGCTTGAGACTGCCCGGCAGACCTTCATCCTAGGCAAGCCGCAATGGCAATGGTGCCGCTCAGTGACTGACAGCGACTACATTCGGATTCAGCCCCACATGGGGACGATGACAGATACTGGCGTCCGTCCGGCCGCTCCCGCCGCGACGAAGACCGTGACAGAGACCGCGAACGCGAACGCGGGTCCGGCGGACGCCATCGTGAGCGGCGCCGCAGCCCCACCCCCAAACGCTCTGCGACTCCTCCTTTGACTGAAGATGAGCGTGAACGTCGCACAGTGTTTGTCCAAGAACTCGCAGCTCGTTTGAGGACCAAGGAGCTTGTGGATTTCTTCAAGGGGGTTGGCCCTGTCAAGGAGGCACAGATTGTTAAGGACAGAGTCAGCGGCCGCTCAAAGGGTATGTTTGGACACGCAATCCTTTTTTTTGCCCAAGCTTACATTTCCGCAGTGTGGGTTACGTGGAGTTTAAAAACGAAGAATCGTTTGCTGCTGCCATTCAGCTTACTGGCCATCCGGTCCGTCGGGTTCTGTTATGGGAAGATGGGGCATTACAACTATAACCTTGAACGCCGCCTCCCTCGCCTTGTTGGGCGTGGGAAGCTGCGTTGGAGGTTATAGATGTAGTGGCCCATTTTGCCGTACCAGAAGCCGACGGCCCTGATAGGCAGCTGGCAGAATCAGACAGGCCGACAATCATGCTCTTTGGCTGCAACTTGGGGCTTTTCTGGGTGGAGGCAGCACTAAATGAGACATCTGGGGCGGGTTCACTGGCGATACCTTTAAATGCAGAACCAATCGAGCATCCACAGGGCTCAGGACAGTGCACCATTTATGAAGTGAGAGTTCAGGGCGACATGGCATTTCTGGATGGTAACGGCATTGGAGCCTTCGGTGGACACCCTTCTTGCACAGAAAACATCATAGAATGGGCATCAACGCTCCTGCGAGCGCTATCTAAATTATACAATCCTTCTTCAAACTCACCAGACATCCACATTGCTCTGATGCTCGAAGACATGGCCTCATGGGAGCAAGTGGTTCCATTCAGAAAGCCTATACTTATAGGAACGCTTACCCATTGAGAAGGCCGTTATTATAAAGGTCAAGCTGCAGCCAGCCTACATCCGTCCAACCACGTCTACAGATACTAGGGCATGTTTGTGTTCACCGCCGTCAATAGAATGTGAAGGACGGTCGGTTCGCGGATTATCTGGCTACCAGCGTGCGGCTTGACATGCGAATAGCGAGAATAAACTCGGATTGCTAATGTCCGAGCTCTGCGGAGGGACATCACCAACCTCCAAGGTCAACCCGAAGACGCTGATCAGACCGAGAAGACGGTAAAGTAGTTTAGAGCTGCTATACGCGAAGCGGAGGACGCTTTTGCAGATGAACGAGCCGACTCGAGGGCTAAGCGAAGGACGCTGATGAGTGTCACCAAGCTGAGGGAATGATATCAGGAATTGCCGGTTGTAAATGATGAGGAGCTGCAGCGGAGGCTTTAGGATCCGTAGTCGTTTAATCCAAGAACGTTGAGCTGTACGCGTAGTAGTAGTTCGAGCTTCTTGCGATCCCCCTCGCTGAGCTGGCAACGGTGACAACTTCCTGCTTGTCGGAACTCTTAGGTGATTCCCTGACCCTCTCGAGTGACTGAAGCATGGTCGTCATCTCCGCTATTATGCCGGCTGGGTTTTCGCTTTTTCAGCATCCAGTCACCATCTCCTACTCCATAAGGTCGCTTCCTCCCACATCTTTTAGACCCCGGCACCACCCACCTCCGCTCTTACCCCGATCACCAGCGCCCCAGCAACAACCAACCCATCTCCAACCACCACCACAACCACCACCACGACAATGGCGACCTTCCACCTCCCCGAGAACCTCAACCTCGACCGCACATTCGTGTCGCAGCCGCTTTTGCACGAGGTAATCCGCACCGCCATCACTTTGCGGCAGACAGGGCACGCGCTGGCGTTCCGCCAAGAGGCCGTCGCGACGCGCCTCATGGCCGTGTACATCCGGCCGTTCTGGCCGTTCGACGACCCGCTCGGCCCCATGCGCGTGCAGAGCGCGCAGGACCTCGCCGACTTGTACGAGCTCTGGGCGCTGGCTGTTGTTCTGGACCCGGTTCTTAGGACTAGGGGGCCGCTGGTTTGCGTCGTCCCGGAGGAGGTTGTTGTTTGGTACGTCCGTTTCTGCTTTTTCTTCTCTGCTTTCGCGGTGTTGGGGCCGGTTTTGGGGATGCTACACTGATTTGGAGGCATAGGCTCCTTACCTTGGGCATTTAGGGATGCGCCTGTCTGGGATGACGATCCATACCCAACACGCCGACGACAGAGAGCAAAGAGAGACCCGGCTTGGGCAAGACTACGATGATGCGGAGACTCTGGCGGCGGGAACGATCTCGCCTTGATACTTCACCTCTTGGATGGGCTTTTTCTTCATGGGCGGCTTTTTGGAGACACATGCCACAAATAATGGGCGGATAAGCGGGAAGACGGGAGATTGAGAGTCGCCGCTGGCGCCAGACACGAATGTAAAGAAGCTTGCCACAAACTCCCTTCCAATGTGTACCTCGAGCTTGCTGTGACATCGCTCATGCTCCTCGCCGCGACGTGCTCGCGGTCGCGCCACCCTGCGACCCGGACCGCGACTTTGCGCCCTGCCGCGCCCTCCAACTCCACTACATCCAAACCGTCCTTGAATTCCCATGCCAGTGCCCTTATTGTCTTACCCAAACCTCTTTCCTATACCCTCTAATAGAGCCGTCGGTTCTGGTCGATTCTGTTGGTGGCTCCAGCGACTCGGACGCCCGCAGGCGAAGAGGCTTTGCCCGGCGGCCTGCTGTGATGCTAAATATTGAAAATGAAGCGGCAGTTATACATCGCATGAATTGAGACCCACAAATGAGCTGCTCGGCCTAGTCAGAAGTGTGTCCCAAGAACGCTGCCATTAGGAACGCAGGAAGGGCAGGCCGTGCCTTCTTCCAGTTTAGCGGCTGAGAGGCAGGCGGCTCAGAAGCGCGCCTAACGGCGAATGTCGCGTCAAGTCCTGACGTTATGTATGCTGCGCGGTACTGGCTTTGAAACTCGGTCCAAAACTTCGCGGCAAGTTGCAGGAGGCGCTGCTTGCCAACCTTGAGCGCCTCGAATATTTGCGCAGGGCTGCGCTCCGAGGTCGAGGAACCTCGAGGTCCTGCACAGAGCCGCTACAGCACCGAGAATCAGGTTTGAGGCGCATAAGCACGGGGGCCACTAACAAAGAATTCATCACCATGGTTCGAATTACCTGAGTCTACATGCATAGACATCAGCGTCTTCTGCTGCTATCGACCCATACAGCCTATGGGGAAATGATGATGTATTTTGATGTTCAATAGCTCGCTTGAGCGCCAGTCAGTAGTATCAACGTGCGAGCGCCCGAACAAAAACATCTGTGGACATGGAAAGAGAAAGGCGGCAGCGGAAAATAAGGAACCAAGTAGATTCAATCTATATACAACAGACAGCACCAAATGTCGCACCAACGATTTTCCTCGACCAATCCCGCGCTGATCCAGGACCCTCTAAGTCAGCGCCTTCAATCTCGGACGCCACGCGTGCTCAAGGCCCCAGCCTCAAGCGGTGTTCAGTGGACGTCCATAGCAAAGAATGTAGAAAACAGCCAACCCCGGGATACAGAAAAAACTAACCCGCACAACAGCGGGTGCGCGAGTAGCGAGTGCGCCCGCCGCCGGGGAAAAGAACAGCTCTTTTGCGTTGATCTTGGATCTTGCAGTAGGGCTCCGGGCATTGAGCGCCTGGAGCCCCTATTCTCGGGATCCGTGAAGGGGAAGATGAAGAGGAGGAGGAAGGGGAAGAAGAGGAAGAAGAAGGAGAAGAAGAAGAAGAAGAAGAAGAAGGGAAAGAAAGAAAAGAAAAAGAAAGAAATGAAGCAAGGAAGAGAAAAAGACAATCGAATTGCAACTACAAAACTAAATGTCACAAAGACTGCATGCGGAATACCCCACTAGTCAAGGGCATGTGTGCGGCGCAGTCGATGCGTGGTGTTTGATCTTGGACCCAATGCAGACTCCGTCAGACAATGATTAGTCTGGGAGCTCGAGAAAGTCCGGGGAAAGAATGAGGGTGAAATGACTAAAGGAAACGGGCAATGACATAGGAAATGGGGAAGCTGACGATAGGAAATAGGGAAGACATAAGAAACTCGAATAGATGAAGTGATATAAATGGCAAGAGGAAATGCGAAAAGATAGATGGGGGTATAAATGCTAAGAAGATGGCGGTAAAAATGGTCTGGCTA